TCACATATCAAGAGTCACCACACTTAATGCTAATATAATTAACATATTGGACTTTTTTTATTATTAAATTCAATGTGAGCTCAAATAAATTGATGAACCCCTTCATAGGCACAAATCCACAAAAATCCAAAAGGAAAATTTTGTTTATAAGCAATTTTAGGTAAATTGTTGGTTAATGCAGGTTGAAAAATGGATTTGGTTTTAGATCCATAAGAATCCTATCTATCCACAGTAAATAAAAATAAAAATTATATAAAAATATATAACCTTCATGCATATTATAAATTAAAATAAAAATTATAAATTGAAGAATAGTAAATGTAAGATTTAAAGTTTATAATGAAAATATAAATTGAAGAATAGTAAATGTAAGATTTGAAGTTTATAATGAAAATATAAATTAATGTCTTTTGGTCATAAAAATTGAAAATAAAAAAAGTGGGTGTTGAACATTTGACCATTAGAATTTAAAATATAAAATTATCTAATTTACATAATTATGGCTATGAGGAAAAATAGAAACTCGATATCTCTTTATTTTAAAAGGAAAGATAAATAAAAAAGATAAAATACAAAATTATATAGATAATAGATAGTTATTCAAAGAACGTGTACAGTTTGTAGAATAAGTTAAGAAGTGATTAGAAGGACAAAATGGAAAAGAAATGTGTTTGTCAAAAAAGGCTATAACTTTTATGATAGTCATAGAATTATAGGTATTTTTACCTGTCTCTTATAAAAAATGCTTAAATGATAAAAATAATAACACTTATTTCTCATTTAAAATTATTTTTTTTCCTTTTCTCTTCATTACTGCTACTACCATCACTATCATTATTATCATGGTTGCCACCAACATTGCTAAAGGTTTGTTTAATTTGCTACAAAAATGTTGTACTAAACAACACATATTTTTCATGTTTGATTAAAGAAAAGATTATGAAATAACATAAATCAAAAGAAGATAAAATATTTAAAAGATATAAAATATTTAAAAGATAGATATATACTTGTTTTTTATTTAATAATCAATTTTTTAATCATTAAAAAATTTATTTTCTTTCTTTAGTTTCTTTTTCATCATCCTCATCATCGCCACCATCACTATTAACATTGTTATTATCTGTTCACATATTATAATAATTATCATTATTATTATTGTCATCGTGATGGAGCCTCAAAGTGCCACAACTCCATTAAATTTCTTCAAACTCCTCCGTGTGGACCTTTAGAAGATTCAAGGAAGATTTCCGAATTGAAATGGAGGAGCAATGTTAAACTAGAATGAACTAAGGTTCTTAGATAGAAGTAAGCAAGCCTAAATCTATAAAGAGAAAGGCTCAAGGCAACAAGGAGAAGGATACTCTCCTAAGGTGACTTCGGTTTAGAGAGATTTCTTAAAAAGAAGAATTTCTCATTCAATATCTAAAGTAGTGCAATTACACGTCCAAAGTGAATATATAGGTTAAGGAAGTGTGCTAGGGAAGCTTGGCTAACCTAAGGTTTAATTCAAACCATGGTATGGTTAATTAAATCTTAGGCACCAAAATTTGAATGTTTAAATTAAAATTTTGGAGCCAAGCCGGATCACCCATGTGCTACTTGATTTGAATGTAATTTGGCATTCATTTGAGAGTAAATTTTGGACCCATGTGCTTCACACACATGGTGTGACCGAAATGCTCTCTAAATGTAATGCTAAATTAAATTTAAATTGAGATGCACATGAAACTCCTTTTAGCCTAAAATTCAAATTACATTGAAATGAAATTCCTAATCTACTTGGCCAAAATATAAAGCCCACAAATCAAAATTGCAAGTCCAATAGATTAAACCTAATCTACATGGGCTTTATTGTATAACCCAACTAAAAAGAACTATGAACTTGTCTTTAGAAGTGACTCACTCTTCATGCATCCTCTTGATAATAGCCCTAGTAATTGGGCCTTTAGCCCATGGGCCTCCATCACATCATTAATATTATCATCATTATTATTGTTGACATTATTACTATCAGCTACCAATATTATTATTGTTGATATCATCATCATCATCACTATCATCATTCACTACACACTTTTGCCATGAATATTTAATATGAATTGCATTAAAGTAATTAATATTATGAAAAAATTGAAGTAATTTTTTTTATTATTTTACCTGTGCAGTCCGTTATCATCAAATAATTCACAAGATAAAATTTTGTGTTTTCCTCTCTATACTTGTGTTATACTTTAGCTTGCATTAAACAAATTTAGATTCTCTCACATGATATTTATATCCACCAAAATCTCAACCCTTAATTAAAAAAATAATTAAATAATATAAAAAATAAGTTTTGATGACGAACATTATCCGAAAGCACGTTATAGTTTATAAAAAGTAAGTTTTGATGACGAACACGAGTCTGGATCGAAAAATCTTTATCTTAAGTTAAGAATTAAAGAGAAAAATCTATAGTTATTATTAAAGAGATACGTTTCTTCTCATTTTTTTTAAAGAGATACGTTGTTTCGATGTTTACGATTGTTTTTTATTTTATTTTATTTTATTTTATTTACATTTTTTCTCTTAAATTAATAATATTTAGTTAATAAAAATCACACTCTTTGAATAAATTTCTTAATTGTCAACTTGAAAAAAATATAATTATGTTTATGAAAAATTAATTTATATTATTAATAAAAAAAAATTGTCATATTTGATGTTAACATTTTTAGACAATTTTACTTGTATGACAATCATTTTACAAATTATAATTTTATTTTATTTTTTAAAATTTCATTTTATAACTCTCTATATTTTTAATAATCATTTATTATTATATACTTTGTTAATTTATCATTTCTTAGAAATAATTTACAGAAGTACGGAGGATACCTTTTATATACTTATATTTATAATTATTATATAATCGTTCAAAATTACAATGGGAGGCGCGGGTTTTAACTTTCAACCATAGTTTTAAAAACCGGACCGGTTATCGAACCGGTTAAGGTACTGGGTAAGTGAGTCAAAGGTTGAACTGGTGAGTCATTAGTTGAACCGCATGACTCGGTTTTTATTTATTTTTATTAAAAAAATATTCATATTAAATATATTTTATACTTATAAATTTTAATAAATTCATATCTTATTTTAAATTTCAATTTTTCTATCTTATTTAAAATTATTTTTATTTTTATTTTGTAAAAAATACATAAAAAATTACATGTTAAACGGTATATTAATACAAATTAAAAATATAAATAATATGTACATATATAATATGCTTATAATTAATATCACAAAATAATATATATAATATTTACATAAATATTATATTATTAAATATATAATTTAAAATTAATAACATACTATAAAAGTTATTTAAGTTGTATATATTGCAAACAAATATATTAGAACAAGTAGTCATTGTTATATTTAATAAGATTCCTTACTTTTCCATTAAAAGATTCAATTTTTATTATTATTTTTTGTGATTTATGGTCCCTTAAAAAAATTAAAAAAAAAATGGTTGAACCGATTTGACCCACCGGTTCAGCGGTTGAACCAGAAAATTGACCGGTTCAATCCGTTTGAAACGGGTCGACTGCATAACCGATCCAACTTAAGATTTAGACTGGCTGGACCACCGGTTCCCGGTCCAACCGGTCCGACCAGTCGGTTCGGTCCGGTTTTTAAATCACTGCTTTCAACCACCATATGTGCTATCCTCACTAAACTTGAGCCATTTTTAATGGAAGCAACTCATTTGAGTTGCTTCATGCATTGGAAACTGGAAAAAGTGGTTCCCAGTATGTTATGTCAGCATTAAGCAACTCAAACAGAAATTTACTCTAATGGTAAGAAACTTTAAGAAATTCAACTTTTATAATTTTTTTTCAAATCATTTATGAACCAAATTAAAATTTTTATTAAAAAGGACAATTGCATTACAATAAAAGAAAATAAATTATGAGCAACCGCGCCTCCGCCGTCCTCCGCTGCGCCTCCTTCAGTTTACAAAAATAAGCAACCGTTGCTTAGAGCAACTCCAATGGGAGTTGCTTGGCACTTTAAGCAACTCCAACATGAGTTTCTTACCATTGGAGAAAGCTGAGGTGGCAAGAGTTTCTTGCAGAGGAGAGAGGGTTGCTTCACTAAGCAACGGTTGCTTATTTTTGTAAACTGAAGGAGGCGCGGCGGAGGATGGCGGAGGACGGCAGAGGCGCGCGGTTGGACAGCAGCGGCGTGCGGGTGGACAGCGGAAGCGCGCCGGTGGACAGCCGAGGCGCACCGGTGGACAGCGGAGGTGGACGTTCTACCGCAGGTGGACAGCAGAGGTGGACGTTCTGCCGCGAGTGGACAGCGGAGGCGCGCCGGTGAACGTTCTGGGTGGACCTGCGCGGCAGCAGCGGCGGCAAGGGCAGCGACGGTGGTAGACGGTGTTTGAAACTACACCGGAAGAAAAGGAAAGGAGGAGAAAAAATGAAAAAATCCTTTACGGAAGAGAAGAAGATGAAAAAGAGGGTTTAAAGAAATAAGAAATTAAAATTAAAATTAAAAAATTAAAAAATTAAAAAAGAAAAAAAGAAAAAAATTTGGAGTAATAAAAATTTTAATTTAATTCATAAATGATTTGAAAAAAAATTTAAAAGTTGAATTTCTTAAAGTTTCTTACCATTAGAGTAAATTTCTGTTTGAGTTGCTTAATGCTGACATGACACACTGGGGACCACTTTTTTCAGTTTCTAATACATGAAGCAACTCAAATGAGTTGTTTCCATTGGAGATGTCCTTAGTGAAGCAACCCTCTCTCCTCTGCAAGAAACTCTTGTTGTCACCTCAGTCTTCTCCAATGGTAAGAAACTCGTGTTGGAGTTGCTTAATAAGCCAAACAACTCCTATTAGAGTTACTCTAATTGCACATTCCCATTTTATCAGTTTATTATTATTATTATTATTTTATTTTTAAAATAACACTAATAATAGAACAAATATGAGATTATTATATAATTGTGGAAATTTTCAGCGGACAGAGTCCAAATGAAAATTCGACGTCCCCGAGCACCTAGCAAAACTCGTCTTCGTCGTTGCTCGCAATAGGAATTGAGAATTCAAGGTCGCCTCTAGTCTTATCGTTTCTTCCCTTCAGTCTCGCAACTTCCGCCATCGGGTTCGGTGGTTCCGTCGCTAGTTCCTCCTCCTCCTCCTCCTCCTCTCTCTCCCCTTCGCCGTAAGTCTTCCCAATTCTATGTTCACAGGTTCTATTTGTAGCTCAATTTCATGTTATTTCAAATTATACAATAATATAGCCTAGGTCTTAGGTCCAATTTTGTGTTCATAATTCCCAAGCAGAATGGTACTCTTTGCTTTGCTTCTCCCTGCATTCGATTTTCCGCAATCTGATTTACATCGAACGCTTGGGAATACAGTGAATGACTGCAAATTTGACTGCACTAAATCCGGTTGCATTGCTTCTGTATGCGTTGCTTCAATCAACTGAGTTTGAATTAACCATGTCTTCTATTCCATGTGTTTGTTTCATGGGAGTTTTATACTAAGGCATGTTTGCAGCTTCGAATAGATTGTCAAATTTACTGTGATCAAATTTTCCATGCCTTGTCTTAGTGTCATAATGTTAAGTTGTTTTGTTATCTGCAGGACGTTGATAATGAAATTGGGGTTCACTTAAAAGGCTAGGCACGAAGGATCCTACGACTGAGGTAATTTTGGATTAACTTCTAGACTAGATTATGAGAATATGTAACATGCTTAAGTGCAATTAATTATAGTATTTTATATGTCTCTTTGGGTGCAGCTTGTCCAATTTGTCTTTAAGTTTGCTGATTTTTCCCTTTATCAATTAGCCAATTTTAGATGATGATGAATATTGAATACAAGCGTGCTTAAAGTGTAAATAGAGAGCCGCATCACTTTTTTTATTTTTTTTCATTTTTTGTCTTCGTTCAGTTGGATCATGGTGGTGTTAGTTTGTGTTAGAATGTGAAATTTGGTTGAGTCTTTTTGAAGCTGAAATCAATGATAATTTATTGTCAATGCTTTGCATTGAATGTAAGATGTTGGACATCATAGTCTTGGCTGTACAATAGATGGTGCATAACATGGGATATGTTGGAGGTTGGATGTCTCCACATCCAAAAGGAAGTCCATATTAATGACTTTGCTTTTTAAATGAATTATATTGATTAGTTTCAGTGTTCCAAAATGTTTCAAAACATGACTGGTAACCATATTTTCTTAAACATTGTTCTTCAAAGTGTGTGTCCTTTACCTAGTCTTACTCTCATTTTGGGAAAAAGCAGCCAGTGCAGCTGCTGGATGCAACATATGATTCCATTAACCATTGTCATTTTTTTTTCCTTTAATCTCTATTATACATGTAAATAAAAGATGAATATCCAAAAACATCTTGCCTTTATTTTATTTTTAATAATTTTGTGCAAGTAGTTGTGGGCGGCTGAGTGAGAACGAGTAAACAAAGCAAAGATGGAATTGGGAACCTCAGAGTCATCATATCCAGGGTCAGGGAATTGGGAGATCCCAATTGATCTATTTGGTTCCAAAAAGCATGCTGGAGTCTCACGTGGTGTTCTAACATTTGCGGATGAGTTTGGTAACATAGTCTTCAGGGTGAACCGCCACCCACCCAGTCCTAACTTATTGCCCCTTCCTGAGGACAAGAAACTCTTGCTTGATGCCTCAGGCAATCCCCTCTTCTCCATCCACCGCTATCATGTTAGTCTCTCTTCTCTTATTTTCTTTTTCTAAAATAAGAATGAAATTTCGCATTATTTTTTAAATTATGAATTTTCTTTCTTTTGTATTTTAATTTTGGTAGAATGGGTCTTGGAAATGCTACAAGGGAGACAACGATGGGAACAATGAGCTGGTGTTCAGAGTGAAGAGGACCCTCAAAACACTTACTAGAGTTGAGTTAGAGGTACATTTCCATGGTGAGAGGTCCAATGATGAAGGTTGTGATTTGAAAATGAAGGGTTCCCCTTTTCGAAGATCATGCAGCATCTATAAAGATGCTGACTTGGTGGCACAGGTACCGAATTCAAACTTTATTAAGTGACTTAAGATAGATAAAAATGATTTTGATAGAATTAATTTTGAACTGTTAAACATAATTGAAAGGTATGGTCAATTAATCTCAACTTTGAATTTTACAGTATAATGGAACATGTGTCACACTGTCACGATGAGAGGAATTGAAGATATTTTTAATTTCTAGTTATAATTTATAAACTTGTGCCAGAAATTAACTGTTACTTATGAAATTCATTTCTAACTTGTTACTTGTACAAATATCATAATCTAATTATATTCTAGATTGTCATAGTACCACCCGTCCTTGTATAATTGAAACGTTGAATGGTAAGTTACAACTATTAAAGCCTAAGAAACTGTGTATTCAGATTCCAAATAATATTACGTTAGACAATTATGCCTTCAGAATATTGAAGATATGAAAGTGAAGCAGAAAAATTATTCGGTGTGTATGAATTAAACTACAGGCTTGACCTGATAAGAATTTGGTCATGATTTTAAAGCTGAGATTTGTATATTATGATACAAGAGTGGTCTTATACTCTTATGTACTTATAATTCTTAGTGTTGTTCAATAATTATATTGTATAATACATCTGGAATGTGGAAAAGGGCTATTTGGTTTAAAGGAGGGAAAATATTTTAATGGAGAGAGGGAAAGCAAGGACGGGTTAAAAATTATGTTTGATTCAAAGGAGGGGAAGGGAGGGATTTTAGTGGAGAGGATGGAAAGTTAATTTTCTTTTGTTCGATTTACAAGAAATGTTCAAGTCTTTGAAATCAGTAGACCGAAATATCCTTTGACTCAATTAAAATTTGACATGTGTAAACATTTTAAAATTTATTATCTTTTCAAACTTCCCATTCATTCGTTGCCTGCACATGCACTACTTCAAAGGGTCATTTGGCGTGTTTTTCAGAGGATGCAACATATCCCTTGGTTTACAAAGGGAGAGAAGATATTTTAAAAATTAATTACCTCTATACCCTTATAGTTTTAAATTTAAAAATATATGTATGAATATTTTAGACATTATATTGAAAATGTTTTAAATTTCCACCCTCCCTTTCAAATCCCCCTAGTATTATAGGAAAACTAAAATTAGATGAGGAAGGATTTTGTTCTGATTCATTTCCCTACTAAAAGTTGAATCAATTAATAAAAGTTTATAAAAATTTCTCTCATCTCCTCCCTTTATTTGTCTCCAATCAAACACTTTGGAAGAGAGAAATTTAAAAATATGTGAATTATCCCATGAAGGCGTGAAACACTTTAAGATAAAGAGAAAATGTTTACACACTAGAATATTGCAAATGCATCATGTACTAAGTGCACTACATTTTAAGAGATCAAAAGATTGACTCTGCCTTATTTCTTTTGTGCAGAGTAGCCTAATGTACAAGCTCCATCAAATATATGCTAGTAGGGGTAAATTTCGTCTAACAATTTTTCCCGGGACTATTGACCACGCTCTTATTGTGGCGTTGTTTGTGATATTTTTGAGTGGAAGAAAATAGTACCGTTAACACACGACATGCATCTTCAAGAACAAAAAAGGTTTTGATTTATGATCTTTCTCTGTCTCACTCATGCACAGGCGGGTAAACATTAGTTCATTGACTGATAGGAGGAGGAAATGAGTTCCTTATAAGAAGCTATGCTTATATTTTATTTCAACTGGTACAAGATCCTAGTCCCAGAAACATTTTCATTGTTATGACACAAAGCAACTCTTAAAACATTTGTCATTATCCTTATTAGATAATGCTCTAATTTCAGCAATCTTCATTCTCACCATTCATATGGCATATAGCCAGTATGTATTCAACAACTCCTGAAAGGTGCTTTGATGTATTCAAATATATTTGGACTTTGGAGGTAGCATCAAGATTTATAATAGAATACAGATCCAGCTGTAGAGAACTAAAGGCTCGTCAAACAGAATATCTGTATAGAAATTAGCTTCAGCAATCAATTTATTTATTAGTGAAACTGGACACATTTTTGGATCCCAAGTCTATGCTAGTACGGTGTAGTTTTTGACCTGTGTCTTCATTTTCAAAAGCCAAGTTGATGTCGTTCTAGTTATTTATTTAGCACTAACAATATATTAGTCCTGTGTAAATTTTCTGATAACGATGACATACCTGTGTAGCCAAGATGCACACTGATAGCAATTTAGCTAGTGTAGCACTAGCGAGTACCACTCTTAAGCTGGACAAGTGAGGGATAAAGTTTAAATTCTAATTCCTAAATTTCTTAACGATGAACGTTAAATTGATATATTTGCATCTAATAAGAATTATGTGCTGAGCCAGTGAATTACACTTGTGAAAAAGCTCTTATGAGAATGTTTATGAAGAGAGTCTCCTAGTCTCGATAATATTTAATAAGATTATCGCAATATGACTTATAAAGATACTTTTGACTAAAAAAATCTGTGTATATGCAAAATAAATCATTTTACGTGTTGGCTTTTAAAGGAAAATCATTAGCCATTATTATAAGTTCATAACAAATGAGCTTAAACAAAAAAAAATTGTACTTATATTAAATAAGAAAAGATTAATCTATTTATAAAGATAATACATATTTTTATAATTTCCTTTGATGTCCATTTTATTTTTAAACACTTTTACTTAGTTTATACAAACTTTGTCTCCCAGTATGACTTTCTAACCGCATGCAGTTACTATTTTTTTTTTCTTTTCTCCCCCAGATAAATAAATATATAGACGCATAGGCATAGTGTCTTTATTTTTTTCTTCTCGAATATTATAAATATATTTAACAACTTTTCCCGACTAACGTATAACTTAATTTATTAATTTATAAGATTATTTGACCATTCTTGGGTAAAAAAGTTTATCTTATTAGTTTATAGCCAATTTTTTATGGGATAAAGAGACACCAGGATTAATAACCACGGGAGAACACAACGGATAATTTATCAGTTGAGAGCTGCAAATTTATAAAAGCAGGGATCACTTCTGGAAATTTAGAACGATTTTTTAAACTCTACTTTTTTATATAACGTTTGATTTAATGAGTAAACTTAATAACCTTTTGTTAAAATGCTAACTTTTCTTCTTTTAACTAGTCTTATCAACTAGTCTTGTGAATGATGAATTTGTTTGTCTCTCATGTGATCAATGAAATAAGCAAAGTACACACAAAAAATGAATGAATTGTATGCATGTGAGCATTATTTATTTATTTTTTCATGCAAAACAAGTTTATACAAGATAATAACAGAGTTAAAGCATCCATTGAAAAAGTGAGAGGAAAGAGAAAAGAGGGATAAAAAAACCACACAACAAGTTTTATACCGGTTATCATGAGCTAAAGTCAGTCCTTTAAGTTTCATCTAAAGGATTTCCACTAACCAGTTGGCATAAGCAATTATTAGCAAAGTTTAAGACTAAATTTGTTATTGATGTAATCAGTTAAGTTAATGGAGTAAATTTGTTACTGCTGCAAGCGTAAATTACTGTAATGCAGTGATATCCCCATATTTTAAGGAATTTTGTTCTCCTTATTTCTTTATATAGATTTGTCATATAGTTTTATAGATGCTAATGAGATTAATTAGTTTCTCAAGTATATATATGTGATTGTGTCAAAAGAAATAAGCAAAGAGGTGTGCTACATTTTTTTTACTTAGTGAAGTTTTTCTATTTTTTCCTCTTTAACATGCAATATAGGACTTCATAAGTTATATTATATTATATTATATGTTATATATATATATATATATATATATATTATTTTATTTTTTCTAAACCACCAAAACCGTAATGTTTATAACATATATATACACGTTTTCCTCGAAAAAATCACAAGGCCAGCTTTGATTTTATCCACCCCAAAGACTCGACATCTATGGCCGACTATCCCAACTCAACATATCAATTAGCTAGGAATTCTTCTCCTTCACTGAGGAAGTTACCAAACCATCCTCACAAAAACATAAGGATCTTATATATGCCCTAGGAATAAAAAAGCTTCATATTGTTATCAATCAATAATCTATAATTAAATCAAACACTTTTATTACTTAAAATACTCAAATATCTTGTATCATGCAACACGTTGACAAGTGACCAACTACTATACTTATCCTCATGCTGCCTTAGTCTAGACATTAATTGTTATTGTTACATATCCAACATTCACTCATGAAACTGAAAAATTATAGCCCTTCATATTTTACATATGAATGATACATAGTAATGGGCCCATTATTCACTTACTATGGATAGATCTCAATGAGAGACCTTAACCCTAAAACTGGAGTTATCTTGTAGTTGCTATAACCAGCAGAGGAAATCAACTTAATCCATTCTTTCTTGTTTCTCTCTTTTCCAGTGACCAACCCCATCATGAACATATCAAAAAGGATCTGTGTTTCAATTGATTCTTCATTTCTCTTTTCGTTCTCCAACACCATGTCTATGATAATCACCTTCCCTTCCTTGCCTTTCCTTGTTATTGCCTCCTTGCATTTCTTCAATATGTTCACACACTCCTCATCATTCCAGTCATGCAATATCGACTACTTTGTCATTCAAAACAGTGATCAGGATCATCAAAAGGAAATGAAGTAAGTCAATACTTTATTCGAAGGGATTTAAAAACAATGATCAGCATCATCAAAAGGAAATGAAGTAAGTCAATACTTTATTCGAAGGGATTTTACAAGTCAAATAACCATACATGCAACTATGTAAATTAGTGCTAGCATAGTAATATATATATAACGAGAGATCAGTTTATTTCACGAGTAAATTTGTTTAAATTTATTCCGTTCAATAACTCATGTTCTACATCAAATTTTAACGATCTAACTGTTAAATTTAATGTTCTTAATTAATACATAGACTACAAAATTTTAAAAAACTTGAAAATTATTTGATACTTCGTTTCATTAATTTAAATCAATGCATAAAATAATTTTATGATTATTCATCAATTTGAATTAATGAAACGAAGTATCAAATAATTTTTAAATTTTTTAAAAATTTATAGATTTGATTTATACATTAAGAACTTTAAATTCAACTATCAGATATTTAAAATTTGATATAAAACATGAGTTATTGAATTAATACAAATTTGATTTATACATTAAAAACTTTAAATTTAATTGTTAGATCGTTAAAATTTAATGTAAAACATGAGTTATTAAATGGAATAAATTTAGATAGACCTACTCTTGAAATAAATAGATTCCTTCTCTATATACATAAATATTATACATGTTATTTCATTTGTTTAGATGTGACTCAGAAATATTTTTTAAATTTTTTTATTGAAAATAAAAAATATTTTTTTAGTAAAGAAATTCTCAAAAATATTATTAAATTTCTGTATAAACATTCAATATCGTTCCTTCTTTTCTGATTGATCAATTGCTTTTATTTAATTCATTGGGATTTGACATCAGTCAAGTATGAACCATGTTAAAGGTAAGGTAAGAATGTAAAATTGTACTATATATGAATTGTGACAATAACATTTTACCTTCAACAAAACGGAATCGGCTGGAGGAATGGCCTCAAACATGTCCCCTCCAACATATTTAAGGTTGTCACTTCCTTGCAAACCAGAAACAACATGTGGGAGATCAAATACTATGCATTCCAACTGAGGGAAGGATTCTGCAATGCCCTTTGCCATGGTCCCTGTGCCTCCCCCAACATCAACCAATGACTCCAATCCCTTGAAGACCCCCTTACACTTCTCAATCACCAAATTAGCGACTAATCGAGCGTCACTTGCCATGGCATCATTGAATGATTTATTCAATTTCGGATCACTTCCAGCATAGTCCCAAAACGACATCCCATGTACCAGATCAAATGGAGTTTTATCACCATTTTTGAACCAATTTGAAAAATGATTCCATGGATGTGTCAAAATTGGATCAAGCATGGCAAGCAAGAAGGGTGTGACACTCATTTCATGGTTCTTAAGCAGTAGTATGGATGCATCAGTGAGTGAATACTTTACTTGTAGCTCATTCTCCGTGTCATCAATATGTTGGGAGAAGAAGCCAGAATGGATCATGATTCGCATCAAGCGATGGATGAAGTGAGTTATGGATGAAGTGAGTTTTGGATGGGTGGATTGGTAGTGAAGCAATGAGGTTTGAGAGTGGCATGGGTTGACCCTAGTTGTGTATGATATCTGGTATGTCCAAGTCAACCGCACATTTAAGGGACATGGATTTTGTGAAGCTTAAACCGTGATTCCATATGTGGGTTTGAGCTCTAAGTAGTTTGGCAGCGTGGTCTTCGTCATGGGATGCCATAATTTGCTGCTTAAACTACTTGTTAGATTCGGTGCATGAAACCTCACATTATTTGGGTCTATCTATAAACATGCAGATCTAAGCAGCGACTTATACTCCATAGTACGACAAAAACATCCGGTAAAACTGTTCACACGTAGATGTTATCGCTTCGCTCATTACTTGGTCCTCATAATTTTAATTTCGAAAAGATCCTATTGTACGAAAGGAGAAAGATATTTATAAACTTATTTTAAGATAAAGTTTTAATAGATTTATTTTATTTAATAATTTATATTTTATATTAAATTTTTATTATTTAACTATTAAATTAAAAGTTCTTTGTATAAATTATGTTCTTACTGGAGATCGGTCAAGGGGGACGATCTGCTAGGCAAGATTGGTGAGTCTCCTTCAGTGGGTACGTCGGTTGCTCCGAAATGGGGGTGGTACTTGCAAAAGAGACTCTGATGCTAAAGTTAGTCTTTGTGGGTGTGTGGGTCTCGTATATGTAATGTACATGTACATACCTTAGTGTGAATTAAGGTTTATCTGGGCCTTGGACTTGAGGTCGGTTATGATCCATTCAGATAGTAGGCCTTTGTTTTGATCGATGTCTTGTAGCGCTCATTTGATGTCGTTTAGCGCTTCAGTGCCGAGCTCAAGCTTGGTTCCGCGATACGGATAGTACACTAGCCCTCGAGCTCCGAAGACCGTGGGTCGAGGAGTTAATGCCGAGTTCAGTGAAGGGTCACGACTCTTCGTTTATGCCCCTTTAAGTAGAGTGCCATGTATCATAAAGTGTCGTCTCGTTTTTCGAAACGCATGGGCGACGCCTACTGGGGGTGACGGTTTATAATGATGGGGTGCCTCTGTCATTATGATCCCCATTTAATGCCTGCCACATCTTGTCGTTTTGTCGCCGCGTGTCATTTCCGTTTTCATTCAAAAAAATTTGCCTCTCTCACCCTTCACGCACTTTGCATTTTCACCTCTTTGGCTTCTTCTTCACGCTTCGTGCAGTTCCAATTTCCCTCATTTGGCTTCTTCTCTACGTTGAGTCTCTCCTCTGCGTGTTTGTCTCAAACATTCACCGCCCTAACTCTTTCGTCTTCTCTGTTGCTCTAAGCTTTGCTCTCAGTGCCTTCGTTGCACTATCATTGTCGCCGTTTTTGCTCTTCAAGGGTTGCTTGTAGCAGGTACCCCTCTTTGCCTTCGTCTTCGTTTTCCCCCTTTTTCTATTTTCCTCCATTTTTAATGGCTGGTGAGGCAGAAAGTGTTGCACCTTCTACGCCTGTCAAAGGCAAAGGCAAGGCGTGCGGCAAGGCAACGACCAGCGAGACGGTCTTTGCTGAAAAGAAGAGGGGTGGGAATAACCCTAAGGATTCTCACCCCATCATTTTCGTCCCAGGTTACGAGTGGCTCAGGGGGGATGTTGGGGAGTTTGAGAGCGTGTTCAGGTCGTTCCTTGACGTGAATGCGATGTGAAAATCGCTTAGAATCTGTAAGTCGTCCATCTCCAAGCTCATCCGAGTTGAGCCCTGCCAACCCGGTGAGCGTGTGTATATGGCGGGTACTTTGAATACCCCATTCTTCTATATGTACCAATGTTTTTTCAGAGATCTGGGTGTGTGTTTACCCTTTACACAATTTGAGTGTGATTTTTTGAATTTTTATCAATGTGGCCCCCTGCCAACTGCACCCCAATAGTTAGGGTTTTTTTAGGGCTTTTCAAGTTTTGTGCTCGGCCTTGGGGATAGGGTTTTCGTTGCTTGTTTTTCTTCATTTTTACCAACTCAAATTGGGCGAACCTCCCCTGGGTTGGGTATCTCTAAGTGGGAGTAAGGTTGGGGAGTTGTTTCAGCTTTATTCCCAGTCGTATAAGAGCTTCAAGAAGGAGTTATTCCGAGTTCGGCCTACTGAGGCCGACCTGCTGGTCGACAAAGTTTTCCACTTCGGAGGGGTGCCGAGGTTTCCCCTCTTCTGGCAGTAGAATTCGATCAAATTTAATGGGTCAAACAGCCTTCAACTGTCGGATTTTGATACTACTGCCATCGCCAACTTGGCCGCGCTTCCTCGTCCCTTGGATTGCAAGCTCGTCCTCTCGCTTGCTAACTTGGCGAATAAGGAGAGGGGTTTGGAGAGTGAGTACCTCGTCGTCCTGAATTATTAGATTCTCTGTCTTTATTCACCTTCTTATGTGTTGGGCCCTTCGTGTTTGCAGGTCTAATGGGAAAAAACAAATGGCGCGAGCTGAAGGCTCGTCACAATACGAAGGAGCTCGAGGTTCCCGAGCCCAGAGAGGAGGAGGTTGCTCCCTTGGAGACTCGCCGAAAGAGGAAGAGGGGAGAGAAGAGGGTCGGTGAGGTCTCAGCCACTCCCGATCTCGAAGAGGTGACCTCGAGGGCCGCCGATGCCAACCCAATCGATCTCACCGGGAGCCCTCCGCCTGAGGGGTCGTCGAGGGAGCCTGTGGTAGAGGTTGCTCTTGAGACACAGGTTTGTGCCTTTACCTTATGATTTTTCTTCTACATTGTGTGATGTTCCTGCTTTGTACATTAGAAAAAATTTTGTTTCGTGCAAGTGGGTCCGACGCCTACCTCCGCCGAGGCCTGCGGGAAGGGGCCAAGCTCCGAGGTGCCAACGCCGACTTCTCCTGCTGCTACGTAGGTGGGTCCGACGCCTATTTCTGCTAAGGCTCGCGAGAAAGGGTCAAGCTCTGAGGCGCCGACGCCAACTCCTTCTGCTGTTGCGTCTTCTCACGGTGGCGTTCCGAGGCCGAAGTGCATTGTACAACGCTTCGACGTCACCCGTCCAATGGCAAGATTGGACCATGTGAGTGTGTCTCCGGACATAATGTCACTGTGGAGCTCTAAAGTGACCGCGTAGTCATTTTTTAAGGAGGACCCGACCTTTGTCGCTGACAAGGCAATGATAGAGAAAGTTGGTCTAGTGGAGGGCCTAGACTTTGCGGAGGTCTTCACGTAGAGGTCTATTACCATTGTGGACCACTGGAAGCGCAGGTGGCCGAAGCTTCAAGGCGAGCTAGAGAGTGCGCGGAGCCGAGTTCTACCCTTGGAGGAGGAGAACCGGGCCTTGAGGGCCGCGCTGGGCGAGGCTGCGAAGAAAAGTGAAGCTGAGCTTCAAGCTTTTAGGAGAGATCTTTCAAAGACTCAGAAGTCTTTGGAAGTCGCTTTGATATGAGGGCCAATGAGGCGTATGCTGCCCAAGTTGGCGACCTGTAGAAGGTCGCCAAGTCTTGTAGGGGGAGGCCGAAGCTGCTCAGGGTCGGGCGTGCTCACTGTATGAGGAGGTCAAGGCGTTGAAGGCTGAGTTAGGGGAAGCTGTCGAGAGGCTTTTGTGCGACGAGGTGCTTCTCGTCGGCATGGAGGAGGAGATTGGCTCCTTGAAAGTTGACCTGGATGCGATGGTGGCAGCGAGGACGAGCTTGGAGAAGAAACTCGTCAAGACTGAGCGGGCTGTTTTGGTGGAGCACAAGAGGGGGTTCCTCAAGGCAGCTCGTCAAGCTAGGTTGCTTGCGCCCGGGGTCGACCTCTCTACCATGCACATAAAGAAGGATGTGCAAGGTGGGCAGTTGGTGAATGAGGATGACTTGTCCGAGAGCACAAGTGATAACACTGCCTCCTAGGCATTTTCCTTTGGTTTCCCTGTACTTAATTTATTTTGCAATTTTTGTGTATGAACTTTCTTGTTGAACTGTGCCTATTTATTCAGCGTTGATTATTTTGCTCTTGATTTTGCACTTTTTGATGTTTCTTGTTTGACTCGAATCCGTCTCAAGGTTCAAATATGACCTTTGATTTTATTCTAAGAATCGAATCCAGTTTTAGGCTTAGTTTTAACCTGTTTTTGAGGTTCGGACTCGACCCTTAATATAACTTGCGCAAAGTTTCAAATATGTGACCTTGGTTTAAAATGAATCGTGTCAAGGTTCGAATTCGATCTTGGCTTAATATAATTCGTGCCAAGGTTCGAATTCGACCTTGGCTTAATATAATTCGTGCCAAGGTTCGAATTCGACCTTGACTTAATATAATTCATGCCAAGGTTCGAATTTGACCTTGGCTTAATATAAATCATGTCATGACAATGTAAAATTGAGGGGATATGAGTAAAATGAGTCATTTTTATTAATGTTGTGGGTGTGCCTCGTTAAAAACCCTCTCAGCCAAAACCTATTTTTCTATTTTTTGGGACAAAAGACTGAGTAGGAAAAAGAGTGCACAACCCATTTGTACAATTCAACTGAAGTAAAACTTGAGATGAGTGGCATTCCAAGTTCGCGGGATGGTCTTGCCGCTGAGCTCTTCTAGTCGGTATGCTCCATTTTCTAAGTCTTCTGTGACTCGGAACGGGCCATCCCAATTAGGTGCGAGTTTCCCTTCTGATGGGTCTCTTCTTGCTTCACCTTGTAGTCTCCATACCAAGTCGCCTACCCGGAAAGAGCGAGGTCGGACTCGAGCGTTGTACCTTCTAGAGGCTCAAAGTTTGCAAGCTTCTTCGTGAATTTGAACCTCCTCTCTAAGTTCGTCTATTAGGTCGAGGTTGACTGTCGTTTCTTGAGCGTTTTGTTCACTGTCAAAGGTGTGCCATCGATGAGATGTCTTGCCGACCTCAACTGGAATCATGGCATCGGCTCCGTAGGTTAGCCTGTAAGGAGTTTCTTGAGTTGTGGACTTGGGTGAGCAATGATATGCCCAGAGGATGCTAGGGATCTCATCAACCCATTGTCCCTTAGCACTCCCTAGTCGTTTTTTGAGTTCTTGGAGTATTACCTTGTTCGCAGCTTCGGCTTGGCCATTGGTTTGGGGATGTTCCACCGAGGTTGGAAGGTGCTTGATTCCGAGTTCTCGGAAGAATTTCTCGAAG